ATTTCTCCAGGTGAAATCCATTCTTCGGGATTGTGTGTTTGCGTGTGTGTGTAACTTCTCTGTCAATTCATTTTGTTGCTCCTGTCAGGGCAGGATAAATCTTTATCGTTAACCTTTATGGCTAGTATTAGCAAATGGAGATCAGTAACCTCACATACTTCTGATCGCTCCATCTGCCTTTAACCTGAGGTATAAATAACAAGAGTGACTTTAACCATGTGCGTGTGCAGAGCCTTTAAATGTGATAGCAGCAGGGGCAAACAGTTTTCTGTAAATAATCCTCAATAAGCTTCAGCAGACCAAAGACAGAGTCTGTTTCACCACTGGTGAAACTATAACCATAGTTGACTGGATTTCTTGTTCAGCTTCTAATAAGAAAGATAATGGATAAAAAAAAATCGTATCTTGAAAGCAGAGGGGTGGAAGCTAATTATGGCACAGTTTAAAGACCTTAGACTGTATTTAAAGATAGATGATGCATCTCCACTTCCTCTCTCTACCCAGAGATTCAGCTGTAATACCCTGTTTATACGATCGGGGATGGAGCGAGATCCTGAACAAACATCAATGTGATTATTACCTAAAATGACAGAAACGACTTTAAATAAAGGTGAAAATTTATTTTTTACGTGTATTTTGACTTTTAAATTTGGTCTACGTCCCATCCACATACATGGAAGAGGCAGGATCTATGACCCTCTACCAGGTGATGATCCAGATCTTCACTGGGTCAGCAGTCCTATCGTCCATCTTTATATACAGTCAATGGTAGAGACACCTTTTAAAGGTGAATGTCAGGCAGGTACAGATAAATGAGTCAGAATATTGCTTCATCGTCTCCACAGGCACCAGATGTTTTTTATGTGTCTTGTAATTCTGAGATTTCAATCCCATTTGTTCATTATACATTAGAAAAATGTTAAATTAGTTATTTGGAATGAGGTTACAGCAAATTTTACTTAATGTGACTTTCAATCATGTAAACAAGAAATCAGAGGAAGTTGACAATTTGTGCAATCATGTTAATAGCTCTAAGTGTTTTAGCTTTACTCTCATTATTGACAGTGGTGGTTTTTATTGTGTGCATGTAAATGCAGCCAAATATGACTAATTGAATACAACCTTATCCATCACTTTTGTAAAATAAACAAAAGGCAGCTGGCGAAATAATGGAATCACATTTTAGTGTTCTGCAGAGTTGGCTGTGATCGCACATGTGGATTCTCTGTGAATCACTGTCTGCCAAAAACAAGAATTCTCATCATTTAACTTCAGAAAGGGAAATTTGTCTTTTGGTTTTGTGTTTTAAATGCAATGGATTCATGTTGCTGCAGTGTTCAGTTCAGGGCTGCAGCTTCTTTTCATTTCGTTTATTGATCTGCTGTTTTTTCTATTAATCAATTATTCATTTGACCTTTAACATTTAAAAAAAAGATTGCCTGTCGAGATTTCTATTGATTATTTTCTCTAATTAGCGGAACAAAACCCAAAGATATTTCAAATATGTCATAAGATAAAGAAATAATTGCAACTTCTCACAATTGAGAGGCTTTGTCACTCGATAGGCTGTTGAGTCTTTTTTAAAAATACATTTTGTTTTGACAGTTTCACAGTTGTTTGCAGGGAACACGTCGTGGTTCAGTCTGGTTTGTTCACTGCACAGAAGACATCGAATATTTCTGTCCCTCTCTGTTGTCTGTAACTCACACCCTCAACACGTGATATCTTTGTGAAAGCAACAAAAAAACACTGTTCATATTAAGTTGTGACAAAATGAACAAGACATAATTTCACTCATTTGAGGATTGTGCTAAAACAAGTGAGGGAAACTGAGAGTAGATGATTACAAGGGTCCAGGTGCTCTTTGCACCTCTGGTCCTCAAAACTTACTCGCCGTGCTGTGGGCGGCTTTGTGCCACACGCCATCTGGACCCCAAATGTCTGGAAGGTATCGGTTCATCACTGCAGCCAGATTGTGTAAAACCCCTCAACATCTGCAGCTTTGCTAAAGAGCAAACGAGCACGATGAGGCGCTGTCAGTTACTTGACCTTTGACCTGCTGTGCCCTCTCTGCCACAGAGGCAGCGTTCACCCTGCTGTTGTACTGGGAGCTGCTGCAGTGGGAGGACCGGCCCCTGAGGGATTTCCTCCACTACCCCTGTCAGAGCGAGTGGCAGCGCAAGGAGAACCTGAGTCGTAAAATCCTCCACTACTTCAACAAGGGGAAGGCAAGTGGACTGTTTTATAGCTTCACCTCGCTCTCCTGTTTTTACTCATTTAAACCAGCATCTGAACGTCACCTTGTACAATTGGGTAACCTTAAAAAGACTTAACTTTGTCGTTCAATTCTATTCAGTTTGATTTGAACAGCACCACATCGCAGCATTCATTATTCAAGGCACTTTACACAATGAGGTTGAGAAACAGAGAAACTCAACAGTTCTCAGCAAACTGTGGAAAGAAAAAACTCCTTTTATAGCTTTTTTAATTATTTATATTTAAATACTATTCCAGTAGCTGTTTGTTGCAGCTGTTCCTAAGATAATGAAATGTTGCCCTCATTAACACTGGCAGAGAAACAGAACCCTGTAGTGTTATGTATAATGTTCCTCCAAGTTTTAATCTATCTTTAAACATCTTTCAAGTCCCCAGTGAATTTTATTGTTAATTTGTTATGATGCTTCATTTACTATATTGAACTATAATATACACAGTGGTGGAATAAACACTCAAATCCTTCATCTAAGTACAAGTGGCAATAGGACAGTGTACAAATACAATTGCAAGATATCCCAAATGTGTAAGCTACAGTAATTTAAGTAAAAATGTAAAGGAAGTAATTGTTAAAAGCTACAGTGTTATTATTAGAGACTAGCTAATTTTAGATACTGTTGAGTAGCAAAATCTTTATTGACGCATCATATTTTACAAGCAGATCTTATTTTAGATGTAGAATCACAGTAAAGCAGATAAACGCAGTGATGTAGATGTAGGAAGCAGCACAAAATGAAGCTACTACAATCTACCAAGTCCTTTCTACCACGCTGAAATTATACAAAAATAATTATATTGCTATTTCTTTGGAGTACCTCCTGTATTCTAAAATACTTTTTGTTCTGAGTATCATAATACTAACATGTAGGGTTCACCCACACAACTATACTATAATGTTCAGTTGAATAAAACGTGATTTGCGTCCTCCTGGTTCTCATCCACTAAATCACATTAGTCGACTGGTGTCTGTGGTTCAGAGAGCACAATGCCCTCTGGACTCCGGGAGCAGCTGAAGGAAATAAATGTGGCCTCCTCATGAACTATTTGTCATTTCTTGTTTTTATCACTGCCTTTGAATAAAATTAAAAAAAACATTGTGAGATCCCTGTGTCAAAATTCTTTCAGGGCAAATTTTATTTGCGACCTCAGTGAATTAATAATGAAAAAGTTATGTAGAAACTGGATTTACTCATTTCACTCAATGGCGAGCGCTCACACTCAATCTATAGTGCTGTAGCGTGCGCTGTAGGAGGGTCAGTAAAACAACTAACTCGTGTGAAAGGTGAAATGTTAGATCATATATTAACACTTCAAATGAGAATGTCCATGAAAGATAAAGATTAACTGCAGAAGAAATTCAACCCAAATTGTGTCAACCCTTTTTTTTTTTTATGACACTATCATTTCAAAATGCAGTGAGTTTATTTGCATGTTAATCCACATTCAACCTCTTGAAAGGAAAAACACATGAAACGAAGCCTCATATCACATCATTGTATGGTCACTGCAGAGACGTCAGTATGATGTCTGTTCATACAGTTAATATTTGTATCTTAGTCTGACTAAAGAAGAATGAATAAATTAGAGACTCGAACATGGATACAATTTGGGAAATGTGTACTTTTTGACCTTTTCATGCAGAAGTTGTCCAGTTCTCCAAACGTTTCCATTTGAATAATGATTTGTCTTGATAGTAAATGATAAATTCATCTTCATTGATTTCTTCCATTTGCTCTTTATCTCATTTGTATGTGACTCTGCAGTGCTGGGAATATGGAATCTCTCTCTGCCGGGAGCTCGCTTTCCAGTATGAGACTTTATATGATTATCAGAGCCTCAGCTGGATTCGGGTGAGTGAAGTCTTGCACGCTTCCTCTTCCTGCCGTTATTATCGAACCAGCATCCACTGGTGCTGTGTGCGTGTGTGTGTATTGCGTCAAACACAATGTCCTGTTTACCTGTGCACGCCCACGCTCACCAGGAAATGCAGAGAATTCCGTAATGTGTGTGACTGAGTCATTATTCATGGTGACTCCTCTGCGCATTTCTCATTCTGTGACAGAAAATGGAGGCAGCCTACTATGACAACATCATCGAACAGCAGAGGATTGAACCTGAGTTTTTCCGAATGGGTTTCTATGGCAGGAAGTTTCCTTTCTTCCTCAGGGTAAGACTTATGAAAGCTTGTCTTCCTCTTCTCTGTCCTGACACAGTTTTGATTCTGCTGATGCAGCCGCAGCCTCACTGCTCAGTCATGCTTCAGCTGCAGGAGCTTGTGCAGGACAGACAGCCTGGATGGGAAATTGATGTCATTCCTCAGCCAACTCCCAACAGTCCCCTTCACTCTAATTCACTCTAAATTGCCCACACTCATAAAGATCAGTCCCCTAAATGTGTCTGATTTTATTTTCATCACTATATATTCATTATTCCCTGGGAAAAGATTGACAATTTTAAAAAACAACATGTCTCACAATGTAATGAAAACTAAGTCGTGGATCCGCCCTGGATTCAAATCCACAACAAAATGTAATGACTTCTTCCCTGACCCATAGCTCATCCCTCCACCATGTTGTCTGTGTTGTTTTTGCAAACAAAGGACAGAGGTAAAATAATAATATGACAATGATAATAATAATCCTTGGTTGGGGCATTAAAACTAAATATGTAAATGTGAATCCAAATCAATCCTGAGAAGCATGGTGCAGTTCATATGCAGTGTATATACAGTGTAATGATAAAACTTGATTCTCTAGGTGGTATATTTGTATGTGTTGGCATAAAGATTAACATTAAAATGATAAACTGTGTGAACATCATGGTCATCACAGTATATAGGAACTGCATCTGTATAAGGTTCTTCAGCCTCCACATAAATATTTGCCTGCAGCTTGTGACAGAAACCTGCAGAGACATACTTCAAATGCTGCTCTCTCTCATTGTATCTAATTTCAAGTCGGGGCTTATTTACTCCAATTCCAATACCTCTGTGTGCAGAAAGATAATGAGAAACTGGTTGTTTGTTAGCCTTTCAGTTATTTTTTTTAATGAAGTTAGATAATTCTGCAAGAAAAACATAAAAACATGAGCAATGTGCAATTTGGGGTGTTTTTCGGTTGCAGTCTTTATTGCACTTACACTAAAAACATCAAGTATTACTGTTGACACTAAAACAGCAAATATAACTGAGACTAAATTGATAATAAATAAAAAAAACCTAGAGCAGTTTATCTCCACTCTTACATTCAAGAAACACATCATCAGTGAAGCAACTTTCTTCTTCCACTTCTATTTCTTACACAGTCAGATGCAAATATTCCACAGTGTATCAGTGAAAAATTAAGCTGCTGGAATTCTTAATTGATAAAAAGATTTAAACCACATAAAAACCTTTATGGTCCCCTCAGTGGCTTCCTGTTTAATCCAGGTCAGACTATAAACTTCTATTTCTTACCTAAAAAACTCTCTGGAGATTTGCAGCATCCTATTTTTGGCAAAACTGCACAGAGCTTTGCAGAGTGTGACTAACAGCTCAGCTCACCACAGTTAGGACAACACAAGCAAATGGAGACTCATTTACAGAGCATGTAAGAAAAGTGCAAGTCGTTCAGAACAGTTAAAAGTGATGAAGACGTCAGGACACATCTGTGGTTTTGCGAGGTACTGAATTTGAGAATCTATCAGTAATGTTGAAAAATGACCAAAATAATTTCAATTTTTTCCATTTTAACATGATTGGATTATCAAGATATCCTGAATATTGCTTTTAGTTGAAGTAATATTTTCTCTGTACAGTTGTGTTTAATATTTATTTCTGCTGACTTTTGCTCGTCACTGTCTGTCTTGTCTACATCCACTTGTTATCTTCTCCTCTCTGCAGAATAAGGAGTTTGTCTGTCGTGGTTATGACTATGAACGGCTCGAGGACTTCCAGCAAAGGATGCTGGGGGAGTTCCCACAAGCCATTGCCATGCAGCATCCCAACCAACCCGACGACACCATCCTGCAGAGCGATGCTCAGTGTATCCTATTTGTTTTACTGTGGCTAGTTGTTGGCTTGTTTATTTTTAATGCGATTTATTTATTAATTCATCTAATGTTTATTATTGTATATTCAGGTTATTAAGACAGTTTGTGATGTCATAAATAGAAAAACAGCTAATCTGCACATTTGAGAAGCTGAAACCAGCAAATCTTTGGCATTTTCACCCATTTACACCTGATGCAACACAACAGAGTTTGATTTCCAGAGTCAGAAAGTGACACTGTCAGAATTTCCTCTGAACATCCCTCCCTCTCCATCCCTCCCTCCTCTGTGAGCAGACTCGTCTCTCTGTTGTTTCCTTGACTCTCTCTTTCTAGATTTGCAGATCTACGCGGTCACTCCAGTGTCAGACATCTCTGATGTGCCTCAGATGGAGCGTGTGCCGGAGAGGATCAAGAGCTTCTACCGCATAAACAATGTCTGTCGTTTTCACTACGACAGACCTTTCCACAAGGGGCCCAAGGACCGTGAGAATGAATTCAGGGTACGGTGAGCCAGCAGCGCCACCTTCAGTCCATGTCTGCCTCACGGTTTAGAGCTTTTCCTCATGACACGTTAAAATCAAATGTTAAAATAGCAAAAGTCACAAAGATGAACAAACTGTAAAAACTGATAAAGATTCATGCAGTGATTTTTTTTTTTCTAGAATAATTTGGCCTTGCAGATGATGTAAGCAGATATAACACCCCCTGGTGGCCACAGTGGAGGACATTCAGCTTTTAGGCAGAAATGCCTTTAAAATCTAGATTCAGTAAATCTTAAGTATTTGTCTGTAAATTTTAATTCTCATGACTAAATGAGAAAAAGATGAAGCTGGAAAAGAAAATATCTGTGTGCATTTTTTCTTTGCTTAAACGCTAAAACATTGCTTCATCAGGAATACGTGGGTTTGACAGTTGCCTGGCAACATGAGCAACCCACCGACTGTCATTGGGTTGTGATGTTTTTCAGTCACAGTCACATCAGGTCTGCTAAACATCAACTGTAAAGTAAAGTCACAATCATATATGTCGCCATTATGCTCCAGACTTTTTTGACTTTGGTCCGTTTAATCCTCCCTAGCTGGGTAATTGCCTAATATGTTGAAATCTAAACATTGTTATTGTGATTTTATATATTCATCCAAATACAACAAAATGAATCACTTACGTCGACTGCAGGGGCATTAGTCATTTACACTGCAACATGATAAATGAGACTGCATCAACTATATAGATTTATTTATCTACACTAATAACAACACAACCTAAGACATGCATCTAAAATATTATGAATTGCAGTTACTTTTTACACTTAATAACATATTTGTTTTGCTGTATTTTATCACTTATTTATTTAAATGGTATTTTATATTAATATGCACCTATTAGTCTGATATATAGCTTAATTAATTAACAAACTAAAAGTTTTGTATTATATTATTTTCAATTATTAATTCTATTTTAAATAAATAGAAATTAGAAATACTCAATTGATGATTTTGTAATAACTTTATTTATTTAAATATAATATGTATAATGTATTTTCACTAAATTCACATTCATCTGTCTGTAGTTTAAGCATGTAATCCACAATTTTCTCGAGCCAAAAAAAAAATTGTCCTACTAACAGTAAAAGTACATTCACTCTACAACTAAATATTAATTATATAAGACTGAAGGCTGACATTTTAAAAGGTTTGAAACAATGGAAGTGAAGCATATTTTATTTTAAAATCATTCCAGTGATAAAACAGTTGTTTGAATTGTTCACATTCTTCTCCTGTTTGTGACTGAATTGTTTCAGCGCTTCCCTTCATCGTCAGTGTGCTTCTCCTTTGTTCTGCTCACCCAGTTTTTCTAGTGTGACTACAGCCAACAGAAAAAAACCCATTCAACCTGCAGGGCTTCAGAGACTTGGACCAGACATGATTCTGTACTTCCCTCTGACACACTAACCCACATTAGGAATCAAACCATGTCAGAACTTTTACTCTCCACTGAACTGCATGTGACGCTACATCACCGTTTTTTTCTTTGTCCAACCGGGTTATTTATGGATTGTTACACACCGTCAGCTCTTCACTGCACCTCCATTATCATTAACTACTGATTGTGGTTGATAGTGAACTGCACAATGTGGTTCTCTGCCTCTTCAACAGAGTCTGTGGATTGAGAGAACCACCCTGATTCTCTCTCGTCCTCTGCCTGGGATCTCCCGCTGGGCGGAGGTGGAAAGGAGAGAAGTGGTGAGGAGCTCGAACAGTTATTTGTTCTATCATGTTACATTGCACAACTTTTTCTCTTTAGTTTACATACACACACACACTCTCTTTGCTTTTCTCAAGGCTTTGGGTGAATATGTCTTTATGTCCAGGTGGAGGTGAGCCCTCTGGAGAACGCCATTTATGTGGTTGAGAATAAGACCCAGGAGCTGCGGACTCTGATCAGCCAGTACCAACACAGGCAGCATCATGGCAACATCAACCCGCTCAGCATGTGCCTCAATGGGGTCATAGATGCCGCCGTGAATGGAGGCATCGCCAGATATCAGGAGGTAACTGTCACAAAGCAAAGGGACTGGGGGGTGATTAAAAGTAACAGAAATGATGAATCTGTGATCGTCATCCTGACTCATCCTCATCTACACCAGGCCTTCTTTGACAAAGATTACATCAGCAGTCACCCAGAGGACACGGAGAGGATCACACATCTGAAGGATCTGATGCAGGAGCAGGTCAGACTCGGCTTTCATGATATGATAGAAACGCTGGTTTCACAGACTCACGTGAACATGGAGTGAATATCTTCTTTTTCTCTCTTATGACAGGTGCACATTCTTGGAGTGGGACTGGCGGTTCACGAGAAGCTGGTGCATCCTGAAATGCGTCCCCTGCACAAGAAGCTGGTAGATCAGTTCCACATGATGAGGACAGGTTTACACCATGTGAGTATTTGTGGTTTTCATTTTTTTGGTTTGTGCTGTGTTTACAATCCTTGCTCACGTATATAAAACTGTTTGTAGATCATAAGATGTGATGATACTTGTGTGTTTACATGCAAGTGCTTTAATGTTTGTGTGAGCAGTGTAGTTATTCAGAGCAGTATATGGTTGGGTCCCAGCAGGGTGTGCCCAGCGTGGATCGGTTTGGCCCCGCAGGCTGTCAAGGGGTCAACTCTTCTCGAGGCATCCTCTCCTCCCACAGCCACATGAGCCCTGAGAGCGTGCGTCTCATACACAGACACAGGTTGGTCACACACAGAGACGCTCATCAGTAATGCCAGACCGAACCTCAACCACCACTGCAGCAGCGATACATGTTTTTCTTACATTCTCCGACCTGTGTCCACAGCCCTCTGAACCTCCAGGGTTCCATCCGTCACTCGTCGTCCTCCCTGTCGTCTCACACGTCCAGTGAGGCAGGAAACCTCGTCATAATGACTGACGGCCTGATGGGGGAGCACCCAGAGGACGCGCTACACATGCAGGTAAGGCCTGAAATAAAAACACAAATAGAATGAATGGAGATTATTATTGTTTTGCATGTTATGTAAAGTGTATAGTGTCTAGGCCTTTCTAGAATGTATTCAATAATCAGCAAAATTTAATTAAGATTGAGAAAATTATGAAATTAGCCAAAATAAGCTGTTACCATGTTATTAATGCTGCTTTTGAAATGTACACGACATTTTACCTCTAGTTTTCTGTCTCTTAGATGAAACAAGAAAGATAGAAAGATGTTTTCTTTTCCAGATCAGTGCTTTGATAGCTTTTGTTATATTTAGCACATTTTCTGCTTTGCAGCCGAGCCCCTCCTCCTCCAGCCTGAGCTCAATCCGCTCCAACTCTTCTCAGATTATTAACTCCGCTCCCTCGAGTGCCAGAGGTGAGTATCGCAGCTGCACAGAGTCACACTGGACACGGAAACAGAGACTGAAGCGATCATTGTGACCAACGACAATATTTCTGTGTCTGTGCATATTATATTTCTTGGTGCATGTTTTACCAAGCGTAGGCGCTTAAGGGGAGTTAAGGGGAGCACAAATTAAAATAGCTCTTTCACAGATTTCTCACGAATCACACGTACAACATGCGTCTCTTCCACATCCAGGATCTCCATCTTTACCTGATAAGGCCAAACACAACCGAGAGGTAATGATACTGTTGCCGTCTCATCGTGAGAGGGTCAACAACTCCATGTACTTCAACATGGCAGAGAACGGACAGGTGAGACAGAACCGCAAACTGTACAGATCATTTTTTTAAAACCTGCTTTTGATATTTAACAGTACTTTTTCTCTCAGAACAACCACATGCAGCGTGCCTTACTTCAGCAAGTCAGCCCCTGTAAGCCGTGTGCTGATCCTCACATGAACCTGCCAGAGAAAGGTAACACAAACACACACACACGTGTTGAAAAGTGCAGTGTTACATACATGACACATACAGTATCACAGTATGTATTGATCTACTTTTATGTTCCCCCTCAAGTCTTTCCCAGTGCTCCCAGCAGCTGGAGTCTAGATGGAGAGAACAGGGAGCAGATGTCCTACATGCCAGCCTCTGCTGGAGGGGTAATCATGCCCCCTGTCCCACCCAGGTCCTTCCCACCAGGTGCTTTCATCTTATCACGTAATCGTCATGGTTTTACTCCGAGTGGACGACATGTACTTTCATTTCAAACAAGTATTCAAACAGGCTTTTAGATCTTCTCTTTGTTTGTGTGACTTTGACTTCTCCTTGCAGGACACTTCCTGATGCACTGTGATGCGTACCACCACCAGAACAGCGACCCTCCCCCCGCCCTGCCTGTCCGTTCCCTTCGAAAGGTGCGAAATAATACATTTATATAAGTTATTATTTTTCAGTAATCTTAAATGTATTTAAAATATATGTAGGGTTCAATAACACATTAAACATGTAACATTTACAAGGAGCCAGAATAAATTTTGTACAAATCAGATATCTGATTTTTACCTCATGATGCTCAAGATTAAATATTGATCAAACTTCCACATATCTGTTGCTTTGTCAGTTTTGTGCAGGCAATTGTTGACAAGTTCATCCTGTCAACTGCTTTTTACATTCATTTATTTTTTTCGCTGTGGTCATGTTTAATTGCTTGTCTTGACTGGCTCTGTTTATGTTTCTCCTCCATTTTCTTCTTGCTCCTCTTTCTCGTATTATTAGCACTTTGTCTTCATTTACAGTCAATTTATTATATATACACCATTGCAAGTTAAACGACTCATCCCAAAGGGCCTGTGATTGAGTGTCGACACCAGCCAAGTCATAATTACAAAGCAATTGTCAATGTTTGAAGCATGAAAGATGAAGCAGCTGCTGACTCTCTATCTTCTTTTACTTGAAGAGAATATCAATATTTCTGACAGCATGTGAAGGCAGCTTGAGTCAGGTTGAGGTTCAGGTTGTTGTGACAATGCTGGACTCTCTGCCTTGACTGTAGCTCAAAATAAAAACACCCATGATGCTCACTGTCTCTCTGTCTCTGTCGCCAGTCTCCTCTGCACCCGATCCCCGGCTCCCCCACCAGTCCTCAGTCAGCTCTGGGGGGGAGTAACTCCACTCTGTCAGGCAGCGCCAGCAGCGGTGTTTCCTCCCTGAGCGAGAGTAACTACGGAGGTCAGTATCCAGACCCAGGTCCGATCAGGAACGATGCCTTGGAGCCTCTTCCCAGCCACCTGTGGTCCCCACCTGACGAGTACCTGGCCTCTCCCTACCTGCACATCCACTACGGCGGGCCAGAAATCGACTCCGTTGACCCGGTCCGCCCCTTCCATTACCGCAGCCCTGCCTCTCACCCGCACACCCATCCACACCCTCACGCTCATGCCCACCCGGGGCTGGACAGCCATTCCCACGGGCCGCCGCCTCACCACCACGCTCCAACCCACGGCCCTCACCACATCCCTTACCGCAGGCCTCAGCCTCCAGCTGTGCCGCCCAAACCCTACCTGAGAGAGGGCTGCATCCCAGAGGAGGAGCTGCCCCCTCAGCCCATCCCGCTGCCCCGCAGGATCTTCCACTCGCCTCACGGCCACAGAGAGGACCAGGGCAAACACGCCTGGGAGCAGTGCATCAGCGAGGAGCACGAGGAGACGCAGTGATGAGGAGGCTCCAGTTTTATTTCAGTCAGAGCTTTTTCCTCCCTGTCTTTTTTTCCTTTCATCTGCACTGAGTTAAAGGAGCAGTTACAGAAAAGAGTCCGGCATGAATCTTATGTGTTCGGTCGGTCAACACTTCTCGCTCTCTGCTTTAATTCCAGTGCACGTGAAAGAAAAAAAACAAAAGAGCGAACCTCGATGAATCCACAGTTTGAGGCACAACTGCAGTCACTGCTCCGTGTGGTCTCTTAGAAATGATTTGAAGAAAATGATCAGTTGAACGAGACAGATTAACTTTGTTCAAACATTGATATTGATTGTACACGACTGTACAACTCGTCTGTGAGCATGTTTTTTTTTTCATTTGAGAATAATACAGCAACAGTTTTGTGAAATATGATGATCAGAGTCAACATGATCCCAGGTGCAGTATAAGCTCTGAACTCCCTTGATTTTTTGCTTTTCATGTCATTTTCACGACAGGTTATTATTCACAGTGAAGTGACTCCTCTGCTTTAAATGCTTCATATATACGAATTCTTATTTTGATAAATTTGCTACATTATAGTGTTTTCAAAGGCTTAAGTCCATTATGTTTTTCAAAACACTGTTAAGTGCTCCTTAATAGTGAATCATATCAAATGGCGCACTGTAATACGTGTTGCTGCTGTGCTGTCATATACAGCAGGTCTCTACGGTTGGACTCTCTCCTCACGGACCGGCTTCTCAAGGGATACGAACTTCAGTCGACAGCAGACTGACGATTTCCTGTCCGTACCGCGCGTACGGAAACCTACGTGAATGTATTCAGATGAGATGTTCTATTCATATTGCACAAGCTGCAATCCTGGTTTTCAGTTAAGTGCTTTAAGTTGAGTCTATGTTGAAGAAGTCTCTATTTGTCTATTTTGTGCGACGAAGATATCTTGAGGGGGATTGAGAGCGTCAAGGCGGACTGATGGGGATTGTAGGACAATGACAGGCAGGTCCTACGAGGACCCCCCACTTCACACCTCGACCTGCTGGACACTAACACCAGTACCGTTCTCTCTCTCTCTCTCTCTCTTCATTTCCCTCCCATCTTTTCCTTCTCTGTATGGTTGTCAGACCATGCTAAGCAGTGAGGGCTGAGCCTGGACAGTTGCACTGGCATCTGATGACACTGTCTAGACCCTCTCCTGCTGAGTGGCCGGTGGAGGGGCCCACTCAGACAGCGTTGGAATTGCCTACCTGCCTTAAGTGCACTCAAATGCAGTTTGACCCCCTCATCCAGACTGTGAGAAGTTCATTTGGCGATGGCCTGCTCTCCTTCTCATTCTGTCCACTGTACCTCCTGAAGGGGAAAAAAAGATATCTACCTACAGTAGTGATGTTTTCGTATGGTTTCATCCCGCTTTGGTTTCAGATTGTCGTTTGGTTTGTTGCGCTAATATTTCTTATTCTGCCTGCGGCTCTTTCTCGATGTGTGAAAATTGATGACGTGTTTAAGAAGATCGTTGAGGTCCAGACTCAGAGGGAGGTTTACGTTGCGTGGAGCAGAGGAACAGCGCTGTTTATTGAGTTGTAGTGATGTTGGAAGGATATAGCTAATATTTTAACAATTACTTGTTTTCCTGGTTGTTTTTTTTTGCAGGTGGATGCTTTGTGTTACTGTACATCAAGTTGTCAGCTGACTAGACAACATCTATTTTTGTATGTGAGATCATCAGTTGTGTGAACCTATTTCAGACCGAGACAGAAGGCCCAGCTACTGCAGCTGTACTTTGTATGGAGGTGAACCTGAGGTTAGATATATACATTATGTGAGTTTCTCTTGTGAGCTTGACGGCACTGAGGATAACTGGTGACTGAAGTGATGCTCAAAATATGCGTACAATAGAGTTTTCAATGTAAATTCTGTTATTGTACATACGGCAGTATTGTGAAATATTTTTGAGAATTATTGCAGACACCCCAAAAAGGTTTATCATTGTTTTGTGTATATACATGTACTCCAGAGATCAATGTAATTGATAAATATCTATAATCAGTGTTTGAAAAAGGACAAATCCATTAGACTATGGCTGTCTCCACCGTTCTTGACTTTGAGTCTTCTCATATAAATACTTTATACACTTTTCAATGTGCTTTCCTGTACATATGGTGTTAGCATGATCAAACAGTGTTTGGTTGTAAAAGTGGTTTTCCTACTCCCATAACTGCTGTGGTATGGAATTCATTAACAATGCCAAACATTAAAGACAATCTTTTATCAGCTCGAACTCCCTCCTCCTTACCTTTGCTGGGCTGTGATTGGTGGAGCAGTGTGCGCAGGCGACAGTAGAGGGCGCTGTCTGTCATGGAATTACAAGACTGGGACACCAAAGTGGTGAATATGCAGTTGTGATAATGTCCCCAGTGTGTGTGTGTGTGTGTGTGTGTGTGTGTGTGTGTGTGTG